GTGTCAGCAGAACTATGCTGGGTCAGGATTACAGGGCAGTAGTTCTCTGCTCTGAGAACTTGTGTGTCTGGATTTTGGCCTCCCAGGCACTGCTGGGTACACAGACAGTACCTGGCAGAGATCTGAAGTCTCTGACAGTGGCTTTTGTTTCCTGGTCCAAGGCTAGCAGTTATCCAGTGTGATAATTCTGTAAAGAATCAGACTGACTGTTAAATAAAAGTATGCTGCCAAATTACTGTGTGGTAGTTTCCCTGGAAAAGGGGGGAAATCAGTGATGCAGCCAGTTTTGATCTCTGGAGAAATTCAGATGTGGAAAGTTTTTGACTCCAAGGCACCATTTTTCACTGAAGACCCATAAATTCTTCCAGAAAATCAAATGTGACACAGCTGCTGTGGACAGTTGCATAAAATCAATCTTTGGGGAGCGAGGAGATCTGGATTTTACTGAGCAATTATGGTGCAAAATGAAAAGTAAGTGTATTGTGACCTATCTGTTTTCCTTTCATTTTCTTCTCTATCTGCTAGACACTGTTGCTTTTTCAGTGAAATTCCTGTCCATTTCTGAGTTTCAAGGATTCATGAGCTCTTCAGAAAATTGGTATCAGCCATACCAATTACTCTCTTCCTAAAGGAGCCCATTTTAGGGGTGTAGGGTGATCTGTTTTCTTACAACCTTCCAATGGCAGACCAGCACCTAGCAGGAGATAATTTCATTTTATTTGACTGCAAAAGGTACTAAACCATTGATAGTTGCTCTAAAGCTAAATCCCATCTGCTCTGAAACTGAAAACTTCATCATTCCTTTTTCTCTAGATCTGAAGGACAATTTTCAGTGTATATAGAATTCACTGGTCTCTGTTGATCATTGTGTTTTTAGAGTAATCTTTTTTACTCACCATGTGACAAAGCTGCCAAAGAGCTGTGCAGTCTGTAATTTCAGCTCTCATTCTTTAACTGAGGGGTTTTGTTCATGCAAGGGTGTCTTGACTGGTTGTTATTGACTTAACAGCCAGAGAAAGAGCTTGGATTGATAAGTAAAATATTGTGGTTTTCTTTCCAGGTGTCAGTTCTTATCAGGAGTTAATAGACTGTTTCAAACTGGTCATAAAATCCCTGGAACATGGTGAGATACAGCCATGGGTATGTATTTGTGTTTCACATAGATGTTAAAATTTGGGATAGTTTAGAGTAAAATGCAGTTCTTGTCCATTCAGTGCCCCTCATTTGTGTTGTTTTTAAATGGTGTGTTTCCCTGGTGTTGAACTTCTGAACACTGTTGATGGTGTTTCATGCACGTCACAAAAAGACTTGTTTATTTTTAGATTCATCAGGGGAGTAGCAGTTTCCTAAGTCAGTTGATCCAACAGTCCTACCATGGAAAGATGGAGGAAGTTTCCCTCAGTGACATCACTCCCATTCAGATGCTCCTGGAGGTTGGCTTGGAGAAGATGAAGAAGGATTATGTCCATTTTTTCATAGGTGAGCCTGACACTGGGTGACAGCATTAGGAATTCAAGAGAAAAGGTGTTCCATGCAGGAAATAATGAATTTTTGGGTAACCTCTATCTCTTCCTTCCCATCTGCTGAAGTGCAGTTTCCAGCTTCCTTAATAATGGGACTTTTCAGCTTTTAAATTTCAAAATTTTAAAAACTTATTTGTTTCAAAAGAGCTTTGTGTTTTACCATTGTTGTTAGCCCTTGATTTCTTTTTTGCATCTGTCATCCTGTTCTCATTCTTTGTTTATTTGCTTTTGTATTTTCACTACTTTTGTAAACTTGTGTGTCCTGAGGAGGGTGGTTGTGTCCCAGTTCATGGTGGGTTTCTTCTTTGTGCCTCAATAAAAGGATGCCTTGACCATACCACTTCAGAGGGGTTTTCTTGTTTGGAATGAATGGTCCTGTCAATAAATAACATCACACTCCTGCTGACTTTGTCCTTTAGTAGAATTTCCTGTTTAATCACCTGAATGTTGCTTATATTTCATCTGATACCATGTATTAAATTTAATTTTTTTCCCTGCTGTTCCTTTTGCAGGCCAGGAACTTGCAACAGTAACCTACTTGGTGAGATGCTTTATTTTTATTTTATAAAGCTTAGCTGATGGTGGGATGCAAATCATATAAGCTGAGAAACTGAACTGCAGATCATGAGGCTGGAAATGTCAGAGATGCAGAAATGTCATTGCTTTATTTCCTAATTCCCAGATAATTCCCTTGATAAATGATCTGGGTTGCTGTCAAGGCAGTGAACCTTTGTCACACTTTGATGGGACTTGGTTCTGAGTCTGCTGGGCCACTTCCAAAATCTTGGCTTCTCCAAAGAAGCAGGAAGATGATTTTATTTGCTGTGGGTGTGTTGTGTGTCTGTAGCAATGGAGTGCTCAGGTAAGAGCAGAAGTCTTTTCTCTTCCAGGATTACTTCATTTCCACATCAGTGGAGCTCCAGGAACAAGTCCACCGTGTTCAAAAGCTTCACCATATGCTGGAAATAATTGTCAGCTGTACAGCCTTACTGCAGTTCAAACATGAGAACCTCTTCCCTTTGACACAGTAATTGTTTAATTTCTACTTCTGCTCTTTAAATGACAATCACAAATAGAGTTTGTTTGGCAGTTTTAAAGAAACACTTTAATGTTGGTGATAGTGAGACTGCAGAAGGAGCAGCTGGATCTTCCTGCCAAATTTTGCTTTGGGACTAAAACTGAAAAACTAAAACTGATAACTAAAAGAAATAATAAAATGTGAGAGTACAGTTAATTTTGCACAAGTTTTTTGCTCTGTTGTACAAGCATTTCTTTAAAGAAAGTAACCTGATATCTCTTGTAGGATTTGCATGAAGTATTACAAGGAAAACCCTCTGAATGAGAAGCATGTGTTCCAGCTGCCCATCAGACCAGCTCTTGTGAAGAAATTCTATCAAGAGTAAGAGAAACTTCAGCACTTGCAGCATAAAATTCAGATGTGACTGGGTGACCTGACTCAATTTTGATGTTTTTTGATTATTCTCTCAGTGATAACCCTGAAGTCTGGAAGGTGGAGATAAGCAGTGGGCGTGGACAGAAGGAGGTTAAAACAACGTGGCAAGTCAGCACCAATGCTCCTGTTGAACATGGGACATCAGACAATTCAGGTGGGGAATGTCTGTGCTGAAATGAAATCATCAAAGCACAAACTTGAAACAAATGCAGTTTTTATCCTGAGTTCAGTGGGTCTGAGCTTTATATTTGCTTTTCAGCAAAAGCAAAATGCTATTTTGCCTTCTACTAAAAGAGTGAGGTGGTACTTAAAAAATGAAGGATACTCAAAGTGGTGAGTTGCCTTCTCACCTTGTCTGAGTTATATTTTTAAAGTGACAGAATATTTCTAAATAGGAGATGATTGATACCCAGAAAATCTTGCACCTTATTTCTAAAATGTTTGCCAATGAATCTGAGAAGAGTTTTGAAGAGAAATTTCCCTGTTATTAATGCTGGTCTCAAGTCAGGGAAGATGCAAAGGGGAGAAGATCTGCCTTGCTGCAAGCAAATGCAGAACAAGTGGAAAAGCATCAGATGGGGAAGAATTAAGCAGAGAGACTGGTACAGAAATGATTTGCCTTTTTGGTCTGAGGTTTGATGTGAGGGTTTGGTAAATCTTTCCTGTCATTATTGATTTTTGTCTTGAAGTACTTCAGTAAAACTGCACTTTGAAAACAGTTCTGGAAGCTGCTCCATGAACTAATCTCTACCTTCTAACAAGAGTGGCTAATCCCCACTTTTCCCTTTGTCCTTGCAGGTTTCATGTCTGACTCCACAGTAAATGGAAGCAGTGAAGGAAGGCTGTATTTTACTACCATGACTCAGTGCAGTCAGGTGCAGTTCACTTAAGTGATATTACTGAGCAAACAGGACTGGAAAGGTACAGAAAGGGGGAAAATTCAGTGTTTTCTGTCCCAACAGAACTTTTAGAAACTCTGGGCTTCAAACAGTTCATCTTCACTGATTTATTTGCTTTATTACACTTAAGTGGGACCTTCACAGCCACAATTCACCTGTAGGCACCTCATTTGTTAAAAATGCAGTGCAATTATGACTGTACAGTTTAAATATTTTGTAAATATGGTGGATATTTTTCATATATTTACAGGCATTCAACAAAGTTGTGCACTTTGGGGTTTCATATTTTATTTTTGATCATTAAAAATGCAATCAGATACTGTTTAAAGTGTAGATTATTTTAACCAACAAACCAAGCAATGTTGTTATGTTCTCCTGGGATCAAGTGATGCTTCATCATCCTGAAGGGTTTGGAAAGCTCTTCATCCAGGGCCTTGGAATCTTCAGCCAGCTTGGGTTTCTTTGTCCCTGTATTTGTATTTTGGAGTATTCTTGAAAATACTTCTCTCCTCTTCAAATGATTTTATTCCTTCAATGTGAAGTGAGTTATTTTAGCAGTGTTGTCTTGTATGTTTTGCATAATTTTTTGAAAAACGAAATCAGTATAATTGGCTGGACATCATAATTTAAATATGTTGGCAGTTGCATGTGTTATGTTGATTAATCACTGAGGTAACATTTTGGTGGTCTAATTTAAACAATTCCATAGTTCTGTACGTGCTGACTAAATAATCTGAGACAGAAATATTTTGTATTAAAAACTTAACTATGGGTAAGTAAGAATAAGGAAATCTCCCAATATTCATGCTTTTTGAAAATATAAAAATATAAATTATAGATTACTATTGTAGATTTCTACAACTTCTGGTTTCAAGCAAAGTTGTATTTCAAGTACAGCCAGCTGAATTGTGGAATTCCTAGTACTTGTTTCTTCCTAGTAGAAGGGAATTTAAAGTGGAATATTAATTTTGGAAGTACTTGGATTACTTAAAATCCACATTTTCATGTATAACATATTGTGAAGTTGTATAAGGTAAGTTTAAACTGCAGGGATGCAGTTTAAATCTGATCCAAGTTTTCCTAGTACTTGTTTCTACCTGCAGTAGAAGGGAATTTAAGGTGGAATATTAATTTTGGAAGTACTTGGATTACTTAAAATCCACATTTTCATGTATAACATATTGTGAAGTTGTATAAGGTAAGTTTAAACTGCAGGGATGCAGTTTAAATCTGATTCAGGAGTTGTCACCTTGGATTACTCACTTCAAACAACTCTTCTCCACACCTGAATAGCAAGTTATATATTATCCTAACTTTTAGACATTAATAAATTCATGTTTAAGCAGTGCTTTGGGAATATTTAAGTCCTTTTATATTTTAAAATCATGTGTATTCAAATAGCAATTACATGGTAATCAAATTGCTGTTGATGAACAGACTGAAATCAGAATTTTCAAGCAGCTTTTAATCACTTTAAATTTCTACTGGCAAGATTTGAATCACTTTACTCTTAACTATTTTTCTGATTAACAAAATGTGTAATAGTTTCCAAAATAATAAGGATTTGTAAAATGTACTACTTGGAATCAGTGGAAAGAGAAGGTATTTTGGTAAAAACCAAAAGATGTTTTGGGAATTGAATAGAAAAACTATAAAAGCCCTAGGTGGATTGGTAAATAATATTTCATTACAGGGGCATAAAAAGAAGCATCTGTGGTAAATTTTAACTACTCAAATAAACCAGTTGCAGCTTAGTCCTTTTGGCAAATGAAGATGTGTGCAAACATCAAATTTAGCTGTGGTTTCGAAGGTAGAATATGAGGAGGACAATACTGATGAGAATGCAGAGTGTGAAAACTGTAGGAAGAACAATCTCTGTCACCATTTCCATGTGAGTAATCAGGGAATCTAAAATTTGAGAAATGAGGAATATGTAAGAGATTTAATCCCCTGGAGTACAGTAATACCTAACTTAGAGTTAACATAAAGATTTTATTTTTTTAACATAAAAATTGGCATAAACAGTAAACAAAGCAAACAGGATTTCCTAAGCCTGTGAAAGCTGGAGCCAATCCATGATAGTTTTCCCTCTCTTTTTATTTCTGAAGACATGTCAGTGCTCCAAGGGCTGCAAAATTGTCCTTGCTGTGAATTAGCAGCAGTGCATTAACAATATTTTACTGGTCCTCTGATATTTATTTCCTTCACCTGAAGGTGAAAGAAAATTGTCAAAGAGAAATCCTTGGGAAGCTTTGGCCTTTTTATGATTGTTCTGTATCTGTTTGAAAAATTAAGTGGGTTTTATTTTGTAGAAATTTATTCCACAAAGAAGCCTGGAAGAGTTCAGTGAACCCAGTTCATTCACACTGAACATGACTTGGAAGTGGAGGCTGAGCAGGATTAATTTGGGCTGACTGCTGGGATGTTTCCTACCATGTGGAGTTTAGCTCATCCTCTTGTAAAAAGCTGTAGTAGTTATTTGATCTTACTAAAATTCCTACATCAGGAATTCTGAAAGGTCCTGAATTACACCAGGAGGTTTTTTAGGTGTTCTGGATCAGTTGTGTTGGGGCATCAGAGCCCCAATTTAATCTTAGGCCAGTCCTTAGCCCTTTCATTTCTTTTTATAGTTCCACTTTATGTAAAAGTCAAACATTTAGAGTTTTCCTGTCTGTGTGGTTGTCTTGATTTTTCTGGGTTTGGTTTGTGTTTGAAAAAGGATTCAGGAGTTTTATTTTAAGGAGAATGCTGTCATCCCCAACCTCAGTTTTAACTAGTAGCTCTTCCAGTTCCTGTATTTCAGTAACATCCACAGCTGATCCATTTAGCTACAGTGGTTTTAGTTGGAGACAATAAATAAAAACATTTTTCTTTAGGAGCTTGTAGTGCTTTTGGGGAGAAAATACCTTATAGCAGCATTCAGAGAGCAATTTAATATCTGAACTTTACAGAATCTGCTTTTTAGAACAAACCAGAGCCATCCTTACCTGCAGCAAGGTGTTGGTGTGTGGCAGAGCAGGTGTCCATGGCCTTCTGGTGCCAGTTTTCCACCTGGGAAGGGTGACACTTCTGTGAGACTGAGCATCCTCCTCACTCCCACAGCTCCCTCCTTGTCCCTACAATTAACCTGAAACCACTTAATTCTACCAACACGTGGGTTTCTGAAAGCTTCTTTGTGGTTTTTATTTTATTTCTCCAAGTTAATTGTTTAATAAGTATTTTAACAGCACGTAATACATTCTAGGTTATTTTCCAGTAGGGTAGTACGTATGTGGAATTTTCTGCATAAAAATCTGACAGCACTGCTAAATAACTTCTAATGGAGATTCTTTGACTTCATCAGTAAGTCCAGTTAGAATGCTTTAGAAACAGTAATTGAGGCTGTTCCCACTTTCAGTATCTGAATGTCTCTGTATTAAACAGATCCCCATTTTACAGAACCAAAGTGTCACTTCTGTACCATATTCATACAAGTTGTTTCCTGAAATTCAATGTGATATTTGCACATAAATCAAAGAAAAAGGAAAAAAAAAATCAAAATTAGCAGCTGACATCACCTCTCTTGGATTTGGGAATCCATTTGCACTGATAATCTTTCTGTAGTAGTCAACAGATGCCTTTGGGTACCGTGGTTTGTTCTTGTTTTTGAAGTCAATGTGGTAAAGCCCAAATCTTTCAGAGAAGCCTTTGTTCCATTCAAATTTATCCAGCAGTGACCAGGCAGTGTAACCTTTGACATTTACTCCATCATTTAGAGCTGGAAACAGAACACAAATCACTGATAAAGGTGGGGTTTGTCCTTAAAATACGGGTCTGTAAATGTTTTGGTTTATAGCAGGAAGAGATGGGGAGGAGGACACAAAAAGGAAGTACTAATTAATTCAGATTCTTTGAAATCATTGTCTTTAGCTTAGAGGTACTAGAGCTCTATGGCCATGGTAGTTTCTCCTTTCTGAGAGTGGAAACTGATGATTTATTGCAGTATTAAATCTCAGGTAGGTTATTGTAGTTATTAGTATTGATATATTTGCTTAGGTTGACATTTTGGTGAAAATTTGAGTCTGGTTTACTGTCCATTTTGACTTGTGAATAGTTATTTCTCTGTGATGGAAAGAACAAAGTGAAAAATAAGCAGAAGGTGAAAATTCTCCAAAAGTCAAATCCTGTAAAGCTGTTTTTAAGTGACCTTTGAGTATCTCATTGATGTATCCCTTCAGGTACTGGATTCTCCACTCATCACACAGCTGAGGGCACTGCATGGTTTCAGACACTCCATTCTCTGTCACATAAATCAAGGGGTTTCCATACTGGGTCTGCAAACAGAAATGTTTAAATTGCTTCACATAAAATCATTTCATTTTGGCAGAAGATGTGAATTTGCAAAGTGCATTAAAAGCAATTTTCTACATTTACTTACCTAAATAAGAAAAATGTATAGTAGGAATTTAAGTTAACTGTGGGGCTTATTTTAAAATGACTGAATTCTGTAGTTTTCTGAGCTGAAATTAAAAGGTTTTTAACAAAGAAAATTCACATTAGGACAAGACCAATGGCTGGAACTGTTGAAAATCTCAATCTAAACCAGGCATTTTGTTTGCTTCCTTTATAATTAAAGATCTGCTCTACTCACCTTAATGAAGTTGAGCAACCTTCTGAACCCCCAGGGCACAGAGTAGAGCCACTTAGGGCCTGGAGCTGGCCAGCTGGGGTCCACCAGTTCAGCCAGGTCAGGGTCAGTGTGGTAACTGGACACCTGGAGGAAGGGAAAGCTCTTCTGCAGAACATAACGAGTGGTGAAATGACCAATTCCCAGGAAATCCGAGGTGCCTTTAATGTAGGTTTTCTCTTGCACTGAGAAAGTTGGTAATCTTGATGTCCCCAGGCCCTGCTGGGCACTCTTCCTACCTAGCAAAATAATTATAGGAGACAACTTCTGAGGAGCATAGAAATTGGTTTTCTTTATCTCACCAGCAATAAATCATGGGATCATAAAATCCTGGGTGGCTTGGGTTGGAAGGGACTTTAAAATCACCTCACCCCCTGCCATGAGCAGGGACATCTTCCACTGTCCCAGGCTGCTCCAAGCCCTGTCCAGCCTGGCCTGGGACACTTCAGGGACCCAGGGGCAGCCAAATATGATTTTCCTGAATTTAGTGTTAATGTCAAGGACACCTGAGCTTAATTGGTTTTTAAAGATGAGATCATCTTTCATCCTCTTGGTTTGGAGAATTAAGTTGGGTACACTACATGGAGAAACTGTGATTTTAAGTGTCCTGGTGTGTCCCCAAAGTGCTTTAGGAGCCGTGTCCAGCCCGGGGCCTTTGCTTTGCTGTGTCTCCCCTGTGCCCTCACTTGACTAAAGCACACATTGGCCAGGAGTTATTCCCCTGCAATGTGCTGGAAGTGTGGATCTATTCATGTCACAGCTACTGGGACTTACCTACATAATTCTTCATAACTTCTGGGTAGTCCCCTCTGTAAATGGGGTTTGCAAACCACCCCAGGTGGAACTGGATGTACCTCTCAGCAGCATCTCTGTCTGTCTGGCTGTGTGGATCAACAGGTTCCCCCCAGCCACTCGTCAGGGAAATTCCAACCATCCCTTAAAACAAAGGGACACTTCTGCAGTTCTTGGAGCTCTTACCAGAAACAGCAGCACAATCACAGAATGAATCCTCGTTACCTCTCTGCTCCCTGCGCCAGGTGCTGTTGTAGGAGTGCCAAACCTTGGCATGAGTCTGTAAAAATAATGGAAAAATTAAATACATGGTGCACATTTTCATCTCTTATGGCATGGAAAGCTGGTGAGCTCTTTTTGCACTGAGGTTTGTCTGAAAATACCACAGAATTTATTCTGTCTTTATTATAGAAACTTTGATTTCATATAAGGCATAGCAAAATCCTTTATGCAAAATTCCTTCCCTAAATTCCAGGACTTCCACATGGAGCTGACACACAGACCTCAGGACAGGGTTCTGTCCCATGGCTCTGGATGAATTTCCCTAATTTATTCAGGCAGATGAAAGTTAATTTTTAGCAGGGACTTCCTGAGGTCACTTGCAACATTCAGGTTCATTTCAACAGGCCAGAATGTTTGTTTCTAGACTAACCTGGATGTTTTCTTTTTCAACCATCTTGAAACAAACTAGAAGAGACATTTATAATATAAGGAAATGAAAATTGTTGCAAGTGTTACATCAAGCACCAAACATTGGTACTGCCTTGGATTCTGCACTGGATGCTTAAACCCAGATGATAATTTCAGTGTCCTACGTGGAAATTACAGGGCTGTGAAAGTACATTTCAGTTTAAAGAGTGAAATCTGATAAAAGTCCTGGATTGATACATAATCTGAGGCACAGTTTCAGGAGGTTTTTTACTTTGATGATGTGATGAGCAGCCTTGTAGGCGCCGCAGCCGCCGAGCTTCAGTCCTGGCGCGTGCTCTCCTGTTTCATAGCCCTTCTCAGCCACTGCCTGCAGACACAGAGGCAGAGTCAGTCCTGCTCCAGCCTCCAGAGCCAGGGATGTGCTCCATCCTCTGGATCCTGTGCTCCCCTGCCTGGGCTGGCCATCTCCAATCCCCTCTTCCCTTCCTTGGCTCAAATTTCCTGCCTGCTTGGTACTGAGCAGGGTCTTGGTGAGGAGGGTTAGAGGGGTGAGCTGAGGAATGGGGACGGGTAAATAACAACTGCCTTTTCATTTCCTAAGTTCTAATTTCAGTCTCTCCAGCTGAGGAGTTTTCAAAATTTTCCTGGAATTTCATGTCTTGAAACTCTCCTCTTGTGCAAAAGCTGCCTGCTGAGATTTTTTGGCCGGGAAGATTAATGGTTTAAATGTTTCCCCTTCCCTCTCCATTTTTTTCACCTCTCTCCTCTAGTGTCACTCCCACAGAATTTTGGGAACAGAACAGTGCAATGGGAAAATCTGGAAGGAAAGCATTGATAGCTTACCCAAGGATTGCTGAATGTAATCCAGTGTTTCACACGGTCACCAAACTTCTCAAAACACAGATTTGCATAATCATTAAAATAATTAATCATGCTAATGTTCTGCCAGCCACCATACTTTTCTTGGAGAACCTTTGGAAATAAGAATTTAAAGATTCAATAATTGTACTTGCAGGTCAGCTGCTGCTTAAAAATACTTTTATTTCTATTTAATTCTGTTTCTAGCTCAGAAAGATTTTTCAAAACTTCAATGCACATAAAATCCAAATGAGTAGGAAATATTTACAAATTCTTAAAATCATGCAGGCCTCTCTAATTTTTTTAGGTCCTCTTAGTTCTTAACCTTAGGAAATTATTTCTGTCAGAAGGTTTTGAGTTGTTAAACTAATTTAAATATTGTCTGACCTGTGGCAGATCCCAGTGGTAGAGGCTCACAATAGGAGTGATGTTGTTTTCCAGAAGACTGTTAATTGTGTCATTGTAGAATTGTATTCCCTTCTCATTCAGTTGCTCAGCTGATGAAAAGCACAGACAAGGAATTACCTGCATTGGTTCCCAAATGACTGGAATAACAGAAATCTAAAAATATTAACCAAGGAATTTTACATTACAGTGCTGGGAACTCTGTAATGGTAAAATGCAGACCAACAGGAATGTTGAACAACTGTGGGTTACTCAGGAGTAAAATTCCTTACTGACAATATTGGGGAAAATGTGGTGAAATTGTGCTTACCTTTGATGCCTGTGGGCATAATCCTTGGCCATGAGATAGACAAGAGGTAGTGATTCACCTTCAGCTCCTTCAGTAACTGAATGTCATCCTGCGAGAAGAAAGTCTAATTAACACATCCTGAGGCCAAGCAGAATAACTTCAATCCCTCATCCGTTTTAGCTAATTCTGAATGCAGAAAATCTATGGAAGATTTGCACAAAAGAGGATTCAATCTGGTTTTTTCTGATCTTTGAGGTGATGGCTCGCTCTACATGAAGCCTTCCTCTTTAACCACTTTTTTTTGACAGGCCAAAGAAGTCCTGTAATGTGCAACTGTGGAGGCTGAATGTTTGCACTACAGGAAAATGAGCTGAGGTTTTGCAATACTATTATATTTATGTCAGAATTTGTATTAGAAAATAATAGAGGCCTGTAAATCTTTACTTCAAACATTTCAGTTCAGGCGCAAAAACATAATTACTTGGATTTTCCTTTACTGTCTTATACTGGAATGAGAAAACCCCCTAAATCCCATATGAATATATGTTCTCTTGCTAAGAAATTGTACATATTCAGTGTTCAGTGAAATTAGAAATTGGTGGTGTTTGTGCCAATGCAAAGACAATTCTGATGATGAAAGCAAAAAGTGCTCTGATACAAAGAGGACCAGGTAAGTGGACAGATATAAGCAAGTTTTAGAAAGTATTTCTGAATCCAAATCCAAATCATCTCTGTGTCAATCTCTCCTGGTGCCACAGCCCAGTGAGGCTCAGAGCCCCAGCTTCTCTGAGATACTTTTTTAACTGTTCTTTCAAACTTCTGGTTTGAGACCTCAGATGAAACTTCTCCTGCTTTTCCCATTTTAGGAGAGTAAGGCATAATTAGTTTCTTTTCTCTTAGTTCTGGCTGAGACCTCTGGTTCTCCCTTGGACTTCATCTATGTGGAGAAACCTCAGTGGAATATAACTTTTATTAAATTAGTTGCAATTCCAATTACATAACCCTGGCTTCTCACAGTCATTTGGATTCCTCTTGCTGTGTATCTGTCTTTCCTCCAGCACAGTAATTTCAAAATTGGTTTTGATGGTATTAGCCTTGGAAACATGTTGTGAACAGACCTGCATTGATTATTTGTTTGTTATCCTTTCAAAAAAATGGGCAACATCCAGACTGAATTTTAAAGCCTCTGAAAAATACATGGAAAACGTCATACATGCACATACATACAAAAAGTTAATCTTATTTAGAGCTCAAATATGTTTATTGTATTTCAAACTAAGCATTTGGACTTCCTGCAACATCTAGAATATTTCTTGGACACAAAAATCCTGAAAAGCTGAGATATATTTGGGAAACACTGTGGGATTCTTAGTTTTATGAGATTATAAAGAAGAAGATTTTTACTGAACTGATTAAACATATCAACCCTTGGATTCCTAAGTTGAGTAAAACTTTAGAGCAGCTAAAATGGGACACCAGGATCAAGGAGTGGCCCCAGACCATTTGCAGTTAATTCCTGTTGAGCAATACCTTGACTTTGTAGTAGCCATCGCAGGCGGAATCTCCCGTCTCATTCCTGAGCACCTTCCCTTTCCTGTGAGTGAAGGCATCCCAGATGCTGGGCCCTTTCCCATCCTTGTCCCAGGCCCCCTCGGTCTGGTAGGCAGAACTTCCCACTCCCCACAAGAAACCTGCAGGTAGAAACAGGGGAGTTACTGGAACGTGTTCTTGCTGGTTGGTCTTGGTGCTAAATGTTCATAGCAGAAAGGAACTGGAAGTGAGCACTGCTGGAGAGAGCTGAGATTTCTACATTTCAAATTGTGTCCGTGCCTAAATAGGTCTGAAAGTGGGGAATAAATGAAGGTGTCCTGTTCTGGTGCACTGAAAAAGAAATGGAATCCTATAACGTATTAAACATGTAAAATCTGTATTTTACAGTGATGAGGAAGGGTATTGGTAGCATGGCAGAAATGTCTTACTGTAAAAAATTGGGTTCCTACATCATTTCTCCCTGCTGGTTTTCATGGTAGTTTTAGCAACTGTAAGTTTAGGTGTTATGTAAAATATACAGAAATATTCTGGATTTTTTCCCTATTGTTACACAAAATACCATATCATAAATGACTTTAAAAACTTGAGCATAAAAACCAATCAGTGCCTGTATATTTCTAGTTTTGCTTTTGCCTGATGAAATGTGTTTAAATATGAGTTGAAGAAAGGATAAGGTTCATAAATCCATACTGAAGAGTGGATTGGGTAATACTGAACAGCTTGAAACAAACCCAGCACAGTTATTTCAGTAATTTTTACAATTAGGTGCATAACAAAGGGTATTTTAGTTTATTTCATTAATAGTAGGTAATTTATAAAAAAGGAGAAGAGTTCTCAGGTATGCCTTGTTAGACTTGGATGTGAACTGTTATCTGTGAGCCTTTCCTCTGGCTTTCCTGTTGAAGTGGATCTCTGGAATGCAGGGTCATGTGCATCCCTGTATTCCCAGGAGCAGATCCCAGCGTTGTGCATCCTGCAGCCACCTCCATTTCTGTTCCTGCCGTTTCCCTGGAAGCACCCAGAAAACCTCTGGGTCACTTCCTTGTGCAAGCACAGGAGCAGATCTGGAACATTCCAGGTGTGGGCAGTACCAGCTGGAAAGGTGCCGTAGTAGAAGGAGCCTGGGTTGTTCTTGGTCCACGGGAAATCCTCGGCCACGCTCAGTGCCATCGCTGCCACCAGCACAGCCCAGCACCTCAGGGTGTCCCTCCTCATCCTCACCAGCTGCTCCCTGCCAGGAAAACACGACAGCTCTGTCAGGTGCTGCTGCTCCACAGATTTAGGAGGTCAAAAGGGAAAAGTTGATTTTTTTTTTCTGCTGGATGGGAGATATAATTGAAGGCTGAAAGTTTGGGCTGAGTGGAAGGAGCAGTTAAACTTCTGGCAGGGTGGGGAAAATGAGGGAAGATTGATCTGCTCAATCAAAGTTATAATTATTAGAAGCCTCATCTTTTCTTTAATGTTACTTATCTTTATTCTAAAGGTCTCTTTGTTGGTACCTATTTTGTTCTGAATTTCAAACTGTCCCACAAATATCAGTAAGTAAAACCCTCTAACCAGGACAAAAAGAAACAATTATGCTGGTAGCATCTTCCCACCTGTCATGGCAACAATCCCTGTGGAAGTTGAAAAGGAAAACTAATACTTGCAATTATTGCAGTTTTAATTAATTGCAGCTTTTATCTTGATGTTGTCCTTTTTATCCAATCCCAGCATCAATTTTAAAATGTGACATCGATTTAAATTATTAGAGAGACACATTTTAGCTGAGTTAAATAAAGTTTCAGAAGGGCTTTTTAGAAAAGCACTGTTTTCCCTAAATTGATACAGTCCCCAAAGCATGTTTTACATTCCTGAGCATCTGCTGGTAAATCTGAAGATGGGGCTGGGCCATGAGAAAAAGCAGAACAAATATTTAAAATAATCATGTTTTGCATTGGAGTACCTGAGCTGCTTTGCAGGCTGGCTCCTGACCAAAATGAACCCCTGAATGTGCCAAAAAGAGGCAAAGGACTGACCCCCTTTTCAGAACATGTAATAAATGTACAATCTCAGAGACCTCCTGTTCCTCTCTTTATTAATGATCATCCCATGTCTGCTAATTAACACAGCAACTGCACAGCTGGCTTGGGAAAATGGAACTACTTCAGCACTAAAGGCTTTAGTCCTGGATTAAAAACATCTCCACCTTGGCATTCCAAATGGGAGTATTTAGATTACAGGGTTAAAAAAAGCTTGTAGCAGACTATAAACATTTTAAATCAGGTCTAGATATGCTAGAATTGCTTTTATTTTGAATATAAAAGGTTGCAAATACATGTGATTTTAACTTAGACGTTGCCAGTAGCTCTCTGGTTTAGTCAGTAAATTTAAATTTAGCATTGCCCTTCATCTTCTCATTAGCACTGACCAACAGTCCCAGGAAAAGGAGCCAGGAGAGCAGGAAATGTTCCAGGGCTCTGTGCATGTTTCTGCAGCTGGGGCACTGCCCCAGGGCAGCAGGGCTCTGTGCTTTTACTGAGCTGCTAGGAGCTAGGAACTCATTTGGAGTTAGGGATAACAAAAAAAAATCAATATATTTTTCACTTTTGGCTTGATCTTAGTAGTAGAATTAGAAATAATTTCGGTACCTCAAGCACAATAAAACACTTCAGGATTTTACAGCACTCTGTATTGAATAAAACAATCTATGCACAGTTTGCTGTGGAATATTCAATCAAACGTGCATTTTGGAACTCTTCATTGCTCTGGTTTTCTGGCATGTATCTCTACAAAGACAGTAGAAGAAACAGCTTTTCAAACAGCACAGAAAGGTTTAATAAGTTCAGACTGTAAGGATGATCCTGTAAAACCCTTTTCAGCCCCTTGCTGTCTGGCAGCTGGGTTCCCTTCTGCCCTGATTGCAGCTGGAGTTATTTCCATTTCCCCCATCCCTGCCTTACCTGGTGTTCTCACAACAGATGTGTCCTATCTGGGAGATTCCTCTGAACTGCCACAAACCTACCAGCGCGTTCAGAATAAATTTACTTGCCCAGAATATTTGCATGGAATTAATCCAGGCTATCACAAAACCTCGGGAGAAACATCTAGTGGCAAACAGCATTTTGTTCACTTACAGTCACAACAAAAAAGAACAATCCTTTTGTATCCACAGCCAATGCTGCAGGACAAGCTTTAGCTTAACCACAGGAATCTGTTAGCAATGAGGATTTTCCTTTGTAAGCAAAATTAGCTTTGCACTCATCTATACATTCATACAGGACTGCCTCTTGAACAGGGGGTTTGTAGATGTTTTGCATCAGGAATTGCAGTGATGGCCCAAGGATGGGTTCAAACTGAAAGGGGAAATTTAGGTGAGATATTTGGAAGAAATTCTTCCCTGTGAGGGTGGGGAGGCCCGGGTGCAGAAGCTGTGGCTGCCCCTGGATCGCTGGCAGTGTCCCCAGGCCAGGCTGGATGGGGCTGGGAGCAGCCTGGGACAGTGGGAGGTGTCCCTGCCATGGCAGGGGTGGAATCAGGTAATCTTTAATGTCCCTTCCAACTCGGAGCATTCTGGGATTCAGAATTCAATGATTTTCTCTTGGTGCAAATGTCTGTGTCCTGGATGGTGTTTGACAGGGCTCAGTGACAGATTTGGGGAGGCCAAAGGATTTGTTTATACATGGCATCGTTTAAAATCAGATAATTAAGATTCAGGCTTGAAAAATCACATGCTTTTTCTTTTCTTTCTAAAGGAATTCCTTATGGTGATGTCTTTGTGGAAAAAACAACTCTCCAGTCTGGATGTTCAGCTCAAGCTAAAATGCATTTCTTTTACTTCTGGAGTTACATTCAGTCCCTCTCACACATGATGTCCATTGAAAAGGCACAAAATCAGGAAACCACTGCTGGGCTGAAAATGTGATTTCAGACATCTCTGCTCACCTGGCTCTCAGGTGAGAAAACCTCTCTGTGCTGAGGGAGAGGGGGCAGAGCCTGGAGGTCACTGCTGCCCTGTGCCTGAGCCAGGGCAGAAGGAGGCTCTGGGCACTGAGCACAACAAAGCTCTGGGAGCTTTTCCCACACCCACCCTGAGGAAAGGGATCTCTGGGCAAGGGGAGCCTGGCAGGGGCAGCAGGAGCAGCTCAGCTCCTTTTGAGGGGGGGGGATTTCCTCCTCCCTGCTCTGCACCCAGGATCTGCTGGATGCTCAGGCTGGGTGGCTCCTGCCTGGAACCTGCTCTCCTGTGCTTTTGCAGCTGTACAGTTTGTAAACAAACTCCTTTTTATTCCTTTGCTTACCCAGTTTTGTCTTTTTTAGCCTTTTTTTGGTTTGTTTTTCCTGAGCAGTGCTGGTGCCCTCGCGTGGCCAATTTCATGGCTGAGAATGTTACCTGGTAGGGTAAAATAAATATCAACATTGCAGTACTTACAGAACCCACTCAGAAGAGAGATCTCAGAGTAAAATGTGCACTGGAATGAGAGCAGGAATATTACCAGGAGCTCCTTGTTCAGCCCTGCAGTCTCTCTGTACTCTGCCTGCCCTCCTGCTCCTCAGGAGGGGCCATTTTCAGGGACAGAGGTGATGATCCCTGAAAATCCAGCAGCTTCTGCACACAAAGAGCAGTGCTGTTTACACAGCTCCTGCTGCAGGGGACATGGGTGCTGAAGGCACATTTTTATCACTTTTTTTGGCACTTGGCACATTTTATCTCCTGCAGAACCAGGTAGGGCAGTGAACCAGAGTCACCACAGCGCTGAACGATGCCAGAGGTGTGGTGATTAAGGGTGGGCATTACTCACTCCTTATTAAATCATAATTGCACCTAAGAACACCTCAAGAACAAAGGCTTTGGCACGCCAGGAGAGGCTGGGACTGTTCTGAGAGCTGGCAGGGGAGCAGACTGACAGCTCACCCCTCTCTCCATGTGAGAAGCTGCGTGGATCTCCCACAGGGAGCTTGGATCAGGCCAGGGCTGAGCTCAGAGCTCTGCTCTGGCTGCCTGGTGCCACATTCACAAGCCAGGCTGCTGCTTTAGGGCATCACTGAAGTCACTTGGTGAATGGTCACTGACTCAGTGGGCAGGGGGAGCCAGCCCTTGGTGTGCATGAAAACACAATTCTTTCCAACTGCATTTAACATGGGCTGCCAGGAACATGACACTGTTCCACTCTAAGTTGTGTTTGCATAGGTTTTCTTCTCTTAACATAATCTTTTCCTGTGATGTTGTTTCCCAGTTTCCTGCATAAAACCCCAAATTTAAAAAAAAAATCATATTTACATTGTGACAGCTTGGTCATTTTTTCCTCTTGGAAAAGTTTTATTAGCAGCAGTTTTTAAACCATGCCAGAAACACATCAAGGCTATAAAATCTTTTATTGTGTTTTATTGGTAAAAAGAATGTTTTTAAAAAAATCTACTCATTGGAGTCCATCCAAAATTGCCCAATGAAGTAAAATGCAGTAAAATAACCTGGAAAGCAGCTTCTGCAACAGGCTCACTCCATGAGTGTGAATTCAGGGACTGACTCTGAGAGTGCTTCACTTGTCTCCAGCCTGGAGTGGATCTTCATCCATAAATTCTGCAGATATTTACAGCTTCTCTTGCTGAAGGATTCTGTGTGAGCACATCACAAAACCTTTGGCACAGAGCCATTGTGCTTATCCTCCCACTTTATTTGCTATCTGTGCCACTTTGTGTTGCAAAACCTCATATCTCCAGCTAGACACCAGGGATGGAGCCACCCCTAACAGCAAACACCTAAACCTGCTATTTATTGGATTTTTGCTTTTAGGCCCTGTGTTTTGATGAAAAAGGAGAAACTGTCTTTCCTAATTCCCTGGCAGCTGTTCAGACAATGAGACCACATCAGCCTCACACAATTCTGACCTATCTCCTCAGCTTCCTGATTCTTCATTCTTCTGAGCTACACTCCCTTTCCAGCCTTGAATAGGCCTTTTCTATCTCAGACAGAAAAATCCTTTCTTATTGTACAGCCACCAGAAAACCATGTAATTTTTCCAGTGTGTGGTCTGCTGCAACTACACTGAGATATTGGAGTTTTTTCCAAATCAAAACAAAACCCACTTACAATTGTTCTTGGAACAAGAACACTTGTGTAACTGTGCTTGTATTTTTCTGTGTTACAAAATGACTTTCCTTGCATTATATTTGCTGCTTTTGGAAACTTT